CATTAGTTCTGACCAATGCTCGAATTAAAACATACTAAAAGGCACAAGATTTCCATCAATAAGTACGTTAAAAGTACACTTAACATATGTTATATATGTTTCAATCATGTGCTTATATATCTTCGAAGCCCTTGCACTGTTATTGTGTTGGGGTCGTCGTGTGTGTTATCATTGTTTGTATCGTCAAGTCGAAGTGTTTGTTGTTGCAACAGATGTTTCTCTTATCTTTAATTTGTGTTGTTGTCGTGTCGTGAAAAAATGTAACTTTTCTACTATTACGGGTGTACCAAGTTTCGGATTTCGATTTTCGTACTCGTGTAAGTGATTCGGTGAAACGTGAAGTAATGAATTATGATCTTAGTAATCTTGTTTTTTTTTTTTTTATCTTATATATATTTTTTTATCCTTGCATTAGCATATGTGTCATTTGATGAGAGATAGAATAATGTAGTTTTGTTGAAGCTGGAGATGAAATCATGCAAGACTGTTGTGTGGCAGCTTTGAATTGTTGTAGTGGAGAAGGGGACCTCTTTGGTGGCAGTTTATTATCCTAGAATGCAACATAATGTTTGGGTCCAATTTGTGTGCAATAATAATACTTGAAACTGACACTATTTACAATATTTGGGCTCTGTTGGGTGGAGATTCCAACTGCTGGGTGTGTGCCTATGTTTTTAAAGCTCAATCGCAAGTGTGCGGATTCTGTCGTAGTATGTGGCAAGGAAGGTCGTATCCCAGAGATTCTTAATAATTAATGTTTCAAGTACTAGATTATGACAGTGTTAACTTCATTTAGATGACTTAATATAGGATAGATTAACTAACCTAAGAAAAAATAATTAAAGAAAAATCAAATTGAGAATAAGGAATCTATACTTACATCAAAGGGGATCATATCTACTAAATATAGTAGTTGAAAAAGTCAAACTTAATTAATGAATTTCTAATTTTATCAAGTATTTAATTAATGCATCTAATATTTTGGGTATGCAAATCAAATTAGCATTTATTTAGTTTCTAAAATATTGGGTATGCAATATTAATTTAGGAATATCCATGTAGTTCATGAAATGTTAGTATGCAACATGTAAAAGAAGATTTTTTTTTAATTTTTTTAAATATAAAATATTGCAACACGTAAACTATTCTAGTTATTTTTTATTTTATTTTACATATAAAATCTAATCAATATTTAATGCATCCTACAAAATTGGATTTAGTTTAATTCTCCATACAATTGGTTGTAACTTTTTCAGTTGTACTTTTTTTATTTATTTATTTTACACTTTTAAATTAATGAAGCTCTCCAAAAATACCAAATCAAATGATTTATGAAAGTTTTTTTTTTTACAATTTTAAATCTATATACCCAACTTAAAAAACTCATTGCATAAATATGGACGAGTTTAAAGAAAATTTCATAACCCAGCTTACAAATTCCATCTCCACGAGTCAAAAAAATCACATCCCTCATCTATCGTAACAAATTTAAAGATAAATAATTAAAAGTCTAATTACTACTATAAATCCATTATCTAATTAGATTTTTTTAAAAATCTAAATTTCACATGTCTAATTACTAATATTTTAGATACTTTTAGATATTATTTGTATAAATTTTTTTACACATTTGCTCTCTCTATATATATACATATATGGAGGTTAAATGAAAATTTTTAGACATGTTTTCCTTACGGGTAGTTTTGAAAAATTTAGGTAGCTTCAAACATTATTTGCGAATAATATAAAATATTTTAGATGCTTTTATAGATGTTATAAAATATTTTAAGTATTTTTAATATTTATATATCACACTTAGAAAGAATATTCTGTCCAAAAAAAACATTAAATACACATTGTAAATGTTAATAAAAACTGTCTTCAGTGTTCGTCTTTGATTTTGTCAAAATAAATCCCATAAAACCGGTGATGTCAAAATTTGTACGTAAAATCTATCTATACTAAAAAAAAAAAGACATATTCAAAATTTCTTATCTAATTCCTTATTTTCCTTATCTAACTCCTTCTTATTATCTAATTGTATAGAAATTTGTTCTGATTTTGTTCAATCCTCTAATTGTATTTGTATTATATCCCACCAAATCGGTTTAAAAAAAATCCCATAACATCCGATAAGTAAAAAAAAAAAGTACGTAAAATCTTTACTAAAATAAAAAAGGTTTTATTTATTATCTAATTTATTATCTAATTGTATAAAAATATGTTCTGATTATATGGTACGTACTACAAATTGTGCACCCGTGTTCAGGAGCTACTTAACGGGCAAGTTCTGTGGAAATAACTCATTTAGTGCTTCTATCCCGTGCATACGGTATGTATTTGTATTATACATACTAGAAAATTGTGCACCCCGTGCATATAAAATTGTGCACCCCGTGTATCACCTGTGTTCACATTTTGGCCTATTACAGGTCACGTACTATATATCCCGTACATTTTTCTTTATTCATTTATATAATTATAAGACTGGATAAATGACCTTAATTTTGTGTACCCCGTGCATCGCACGGGATCTGTACTAGTTAACTAAAAAACATGTAAGAGAAAATATATGGGAATGAGAGTTTTTAACACTGTGGTTTAAATTAACAGTAAGGTTCATTAATCAGAAATATAACAACAGGGTATTTCTTTGCCTACCCTATAGAATGAGCACAAGTATAGTTTATTCTCCCTCTCGAGATCGATAAAACTGTAGATTAAATCACATATATTAGCATCTCCTCTCACCACATGCAATTCAACTTCAAATAGAACAAAAAAATATCCTCACAACGACATACTAATCTCTCGGGTCAAGCAAGTAAATAGTGTCAAATATTAAAGACCTAATATTGAACTCATTTCTCAAATTATGAACAATATTGTAAAACATGTAAAATCATTGATCAAGCGCGAAACATAAAATAAAAACAAAATATTTGAATATGGTGTAAAAGAAAAATATTAATTATAATAAATCATCCAAATTCTCAACATATTAATCCACTACAAAATCTTAGAATCAAATAATGTAGCCACTCATATTGAAAATCAAATACATATACATATTAGAAATTGACATGATAAATAAAATTCAAAAGAAAGAAGAAAGAAAATCAATTTCTAAATTCTAATATGTATTACTTCAATGCTTTACTTTATATGATGTATCATTATTGCCCTGCTTTTTTTTTCCAAATGATCAACAATGTTAATAACTTAAAACTTAAAAATTGTACGATCGCGCTGTCAACTGACACTAGGAAAATCAGAACTAAGTTTGAGCATACCCCCTTGAATCAACACATGCCTTCAAGGGGGTAGAAACTCCATCAAGAAGACCTAAAAGAACAACAAAACGAACCTCAAACGGAGACACAAACTCCAAGACGAAGACACACTAGACAAAGTTGGATTGAAACAAAAAAAAAAAGAATAAATGCACACTTAATAAATAAAAAATAAAATAAAAATGAAAATAAAACCTCCATTAATCCTAGCAGGCGAGCCAAAGGACCACCTTAGAGACCCCCACACCGCAGCTAAAGACGCAACAAAATAACAAATCTAAAACCCGAACCTAAAATCTGCGAACGAACCGCCTAAACAGATCCGACAAGGAGGTTGTTCTCGCTTCAGATTTGGGCTCTGAAAGACTTCGGTGTTGGAGAAGAGAAGAGGGAGTCGCCACGAACACACTGGAGGGCTCGAAATCAATCAAGACCCGAGGAAGGACCACCCAAGGTTGTAACTAGTCGAACACTGGCGGCCCGGCCACACGACAGACAGGCAGGCCGCAGCCTCCTTGAAGAAAATTCTGAACATAGTTGAGCATCCACGACCTTCCATCAAGCGGAAAAGAGAAAGTGCGCTAGCCGCACTCCCGTGGACCGACAGACCCCTGCGGTTGGAGTCGGAGTGCGGCGGCAGCGGCCCCCATTCGCATCTGAGTAAACGGAACGACAAGACCCGCCGCCGACTAGGTCTCCCGTCGAGCTCCAGGGGCGAAAAAATGGCTCCAATCGCGCTTCAGTCTGGCCGGTTGGACGATTGCAGCAACTCACTGGCGGAGAAGGGGGATAGCGGAGGTTTTTGAGATCTGGTTTTCCAAGATCTGAAGGTTTAGAGAGAGAAAGGACTTGTATCACTATTGCCTAGCACCATCTCCTATATATTAATTCAAAACATGTTGAGCCTGAGTGGCAGACTCGCATGCTTCGGGATACTACATATCACAATATCATGCTTTGTATTTAGGTTCAAATAAAAAATTTGGAAACAAAATTGGTTTGGAAGGTACCATAAATAAGTTTTCCACCATACATTATTTTCTTTAATCAATCTCTCTTTCATTACCAAATTTGTCTTGAATTTAAAATCACAAATCTTTTTTTACTTATTTGATTGTACTAAGGATTTATCTCATTCATCATTTTTTTTAAAGTTGATAAATTTTCGCCTATTTTTTAGTATTTTTGTTTGCGTAATGAATAATGATTGACTAAAATTATATATATTATAACTAATGAAATCCTAATTGAACATGTCCTTCGTCATAATTTTCATCAATTTTAGTCCTTATTTTAATTATCTTCTCTTATTCTATTTTTCAAGTTGATAAATTTAAAGTATAACAAATAATGTTGTGGACAACTAAATTTTTGAGAATTTGAAATAAAATACAAATGTACAGTAGTTTTTGTTTTATGACACTTCTAACTTTTTTTTATATACTTATAATGACTAAACTTTTTTTTTTTTTCAAATTATTTTATCATACACCCGTGTAGCACAAGGATGTTTGTATAATTGTATGTAATAATTCCACATAATTGGGATTGTCACCATTTCAATGAAATACATTAATCACAATTTACCAAAATAGAATTCCTAAAAAATTCAAGTACATCGTCATAATATCCCCACTCGAGTCCCAGACCACACCATTCTCAAACCTTCCCACGCCGGCACCGTATAGAACGACGACGCCGCCGCCGATGCCAGCCGGAGAATTCCGCCACCCCTCATCTCCCCCGCCGGCTCCCGGGTCGGAGGATGAGGAGGAGTGGGTGTGGGCCCGGATCAAAGCCGAGGCTCGCGACGATGCCGAGGCCGAGCCTGCCCTGGCCAGCTACCTCTACTCAACAATCCTCTCTCATTCCTCTCTCGAGCGCTCACTCTCCTTCCACCTGGGAAACAAGCTCTGCTGCTCGACCTTGCTGTCAACGCTTCTCTATGACCTCTTCCTCAACATATTCTCCACAGACGCCGGACTCCGCTCCGCCACCGTCGCCGACCTGCGCGCCGCCCGCTTTCGCGACCCGGCCTGCGTCTCATTTGCTCACTGCCTTCTGAATTACAAAGGATTCCTAGCTTGTCAGGTTTTTTTTTGTTGGTTAAATCTCCGTGAAATGCATTTATTCATTTATGGTTGTTTTGTGTTTATCTTTTTAGAATTCTGTGTTGGTACTTGTTGTTGAATAAAACCACTTCAGATAGGAATTTCTCTAGTATTTGTTTGGTTTGGTTTGGTTTGATTTTTGCATCCATTGATTAGTTATCTTCTTATGCTTAGAGTCTCAGGAGATTGATTGAGGGAACTTATGGTGCTTTAGTTTTTGCATTTGCTGGCAATGAAATTTAAATGGTTCTCTAAAACATTTTCATAAGGGATAAATCTTTTGTGATTTTACTGGTTGTTGATTTTTGCACTGTGAATCTGTGATGGGATATACTGTTTTTTGATTTTGAAGTCACAAGCAGGGAGCATGATACTAAAACTGGTGATTATATAGAATATTTGAGGTTGAAGGTTTTGCATTAACACTTGCAGATTAGTTTGAACCATTAATAGCTTGGAAAATTGAATTTAGTTCCTTAGATCTGGCCTCTTGTATATTATACTTCAGAGTTGTACTTTTGGTGCCTCAAAACCATAACTTTATATGATGATGCCCTAAAAATTTAAAAAAAAAAAAAAAAAAAAGTCGTGAAAAAGCAATTTGAGTTGCTCCCGATGCACATATACCCAAAAAGAAGCTTAAAGTTACTTCCACTCCACCAAATTTTAGGAGAACTGTTAACTTCTTTGATCATCCTCGTCGTATACTTACAATAGTAAGTTAATAACTTCTTTAATCATCCTCCTTGTATTTTTTGTTGTTTAATAACACCTCTTGTGAAGCAGTGTTCCATCATTACAAAAAATAAAACCTAATTACCTATAAATTCATTGTGAGGTGGTACAGTTTCTATAATTGGTTGCAGAAAGTTCCATGCAGAAGCAATAGCTACTTATGTGAGTATCTTTGCCACAGTGTTGAAATTTATGGGCAAAGAACATTCATTTCACTCTTATAGATGACATTAAAGCATTTCTAGTTACATTATATCTTCGTAAAGCTGCCTTTATATCCATCTCTGGATGTGCTACTATGCTAGAGACGATCATGGATATCATTCTGTGCATGTTTTTGGCTCTTTGAAATGTTTGTATAACAACAACATCTAAGCATATGCATTTATTAATTACACTCTGAGAGCATTTATGCTGACAACTAGTCTACTACTTCAAGAAAAGATGTACGAATTTCTCATATGCGGCCGCATTAAATTTGCTATAAATTTTTATTGTCCAAAAAGCTTTGCCGAACTTATTTTGTCACGAAACCTTAAATAACGTAATCACTGAAAGTGTTACATAAGATATTGATGGAACTTAGCCATGAAAGGCTTGAGGCCTCCTAACCCTTTCATGGTATTGAATTTATTCATTATATGTACCTTTATACATAGATAGTTTCACAACAAAAATGTAAAAGGGAAAAGAAAATCGATTTCCGGGCATGGGCATCATTATCTTGTATTTGTTCAGTTGACAACTTATATTCATTCATACGTTCACTAGCATATATGAACTCACCCACCATCCATAGAGTTTACATATTTTCTTCGCATGTATGTGTCTAAACCGCAATTTGCAACCACATATTGGTTCCGACTGAGAGAGAGAGAGGAGAAATGTTATTTTTCAACAGCTTACATAAAATAGCAAATACAACTAACTGGTGACGATTTTTTGTACAGGCTCACCGGGTGGCCCACAAGCTGTGGAGCCAATCCCGAAAGCCTCTAGCACTGGCCCTTCAGTCCCGAATCTCGGACGTGTTTGCAGTGGACATCCACCCAGCAGCTCGGATCGGGAAGGGAATCCTCTTCGACCACGCCACAGGCGTTGTTGTGGGAGAGACGGCCGTCATAGGGAACAATGTCTCCATCCTCCACCACGTCACCCTTGGCGGCACCGGCAAGCTCGGCGGGGACCGTCACCCCAAAATCGGCGATGGTGTGCTCATTGGTGCCGGAGCAACTATCCTCGGCAATGTTAAAATCGGTGAGGGGGCCAAGATTGGGGCGGGCTCTGTTGTCCTCATAGATGTGCCGCCGAGGACGACAGCTGTCGGGAACCCGGCTCGACTGGTTGGAGGCAGGCAGCAGCCGACTAAGCACGAGGAGACTCCGGGGGAGTCGATGGATCATACGTCATTTATATCCGACTGGTCGGATTATATAATATGAGCAGGGGTTCTGAGTTTTGTAGCTGCAAACTTGCAGTGCTAAATGATGATGTTCTTTGCTGCTACTTGGTAAAGTTCTTGTTTTTAATTTGAAGTGAGAGATGGATGGATGAATGGATGGATACAAAGATAGTGATACTCGCATTTGGTTTATTGTTGTTATTGTACGTTTTTAGGGGATGATTTGTGTTTTTGACGATGTGGGATTATGGTGGTGTTTTTGGAGAATGGGAGGAGACGCTATTTGTGTGTTGTCAACTAAATTAAGATGATGAATGATGAATGATGGATGAGATCCAACAAGGAATCAATGAAGGTGACAAACAATGTTACGCATTCTTCATTTGTATGAGCGAGATTAGGCGTGTGTATTCGTTCTCCGATGGTGAAGATTTGCACTGTAATTAACTCTTCTGTTACTATTAGGCTTGCTAGCTAAGTCAGGTGTATTGTTTTCATAAATATGCATATTTTTATTATAAAATAAAATATCGCTCTTTAAAAAAAAAAAAAAAAAAAAAAAAAAAAAAAAAAAAAAAAAAAAAAAAACACGTAAATAGTGTAAGACATCGGTTTATATGAGTAAACATTGTTGTTCGCCGAGTATTATTTTTATTTTTTTGCATTATTGTAGAAATTACCAGATCAATACATTCCATCCTAAAACTAGTTGTTAACATATCCAAGATGTAAGTGGCAATAACCAGATGCTAGATATATCTTCCACAAATTATTATATGAGACAATCATCCGAAGGCTAAGCCCAACTGGGTTGGGTGACGGGTATGTCACCGCTTGGTCCCACGTAGAATCGGCTCTGATACCATGTAACAAACGGGGGGAAAACGGGTGCGGTCATATGCACATGAAACGCACCATAACAAGGTGAACCCAGAAGAAGCTTAAGTGAGATTTTATCCCCAAACCAATTGGTTATAGGAGGAGTAGCCCACTAGGCTTATAAGTTAGACTTGTTTTTCATATATAAACAATGTGGGACAACTCACAAGTGATATTCTAATATAGAAAACATAATAGTGAATTCGATATAGAGCAGATTCTCTCAGTGAGAAATTATAATTCCTCTCGAGTAAGGGTTCCTGAAAATGTGTTACACTAAAATATGGTCTTTATGAACCTAAGGAAGGCCTTTCCCGGATGTGCTAATACTGAACTAGGGGATTAATTGGTGGTAGTTAACTTCAAGTATGAGAAATTAGTTAACTTGTGTTACTACTGCGGGAAGCTAGGACACTTGGACAAAGGTTGTGCTAAGATACTAAAGGATATAGCTTCAAACAATCTTTTTGAGGGGTAGTATTAGGATTGGCTCAAGGCTGGGAAATTTTCACAGAGCAATTAACACTACATCAGAGTCTTAATGATCACAACCTTTTTCTCAGAACCAGCAATCCAAGTCATCAGAAGCTGCCAACATAATTAGGAGTGTAGATACCTACCATCAAGAGGAAAACCAAGTACAACAAGCTATGATGGAGGTTCCAAAATTTCAACATCAACCAATCACAAAGAAATTAGAAACACAAAAAGAAATAGCAAAGATTTATCAATCCTTAGTGATCTTTAAAGTACGTAAGGAAGTAGATACCCACAAGGAAGATGGCAGTTTGGAATCAGGCATGGAAATTGAGGAGGCACAAGTGGTGGAGCAAGAACAAAAGGAGAAGAACAAAAGGACCACTTCTTTGCAGAAGCCTAAAACTTGGAAGAGAGTTGTGGAGACAGATGACTGCTTAAAGAGGCAGACAATTGAAAGAGGAGATTCAACGACCAATAAGCCTCTAAATCGAAATAGACAAGGTGAAGAAAACACTATGAAACCAAGTAAAGACAAGGATAAAACTTTGATTGAGGAGAAGAAATTGAGGATAAGCAGAGAGATGGTGGGGGTAGACAACTTTGAATGGCCCAGGATGACCAATGAAGGTTATGGTGTGGAACTGTATATGGTTGGATGGTCCTTCTGCAGTTCTCCAACTCAAGGTTCTTTGAGAATCCATCATCTAAATCTTATTTTTTTATCAAAAACAAAAAAATAAAATAAAAAAATAAACATCAGATCTCACGTAAAACAATTTGCAAAAAATTGGGTTATGAAGACATATAGAAATTGGAAAGCCCTAGAGTATTGAGTGAGGTTTGCTCTTGATGTGGGACAAGGAGGTGGAAGTTATACAAATATTAAGTAGTGAATTTTGCTTTAAGACTGCGGCAAGACTCTCGAGGGGAGGGGGAGGGGGAGGGGGGTCGGATTTTGTTTGGTTGGTGCTACTATATATGTATTCTGATAAGAGGATCAGAGAAAAACATTAGAGATTTTTTGAAGAAATGAAACAAAAGCAGGGAGATATTTGGCTTATGGCTGGAGATTGGAATGAAATTTGCAACAATGAGGAAAAAAATGGGGGAAGAAGGAGAACAAAGAAGACTTTTAGGGATTTAATAACTTTATTGATAGCATGGGCATTTAGAAGGTGCGAATGGTAGGATATCAGTACACTTGGGGTAATAATAGGGAATAGAACGAATATGTAAAAGAAAAGTTAGATAGGGCCTTTCTTCCTTGGGCTGGTTATCTTCCTTTCCAAACTCTAAGGTTTCAAATGTGTTCAGGAGTGTATCAGATCATGGTCTTCTAGTAGTTAACAGTGATGCAGACACTACAAAAAAGGAAAAAAAAAATGGTGCATTTTGACAAAATATGGCTCACATAGAAAAAAAAATGGTGTATCGGGTGAAGGAGAAAATTGAAATAACAAGAACGGTGTTATCAAACTGGAGCAAACTCTATAAAACCTATAGTTCAGAGAACATTGAAAGACTTTCTTTGAAGTTGGAAGAAATGAGATCAGTTAGGGTGGGGAAGAAGCTGGGAGGAGTGGGATTCACTTAAGAAGAAGTTGGATCAAACACATTGTTCTGAGGATCTGTTCTAACAGCAGAAAGCCAAAATTCAGTGGCTAAAGGAGGTGATCATAAATTCAAGATTTTTCCATGCTTATACAATCCAAAGAATGAAGAAAACTACTGATGTCAGAGGATGGTAGGATTTGTGAATCTGTTGAAGAACTGTAGAAGGAGATCACAAGCTTCTACAAAAATTTGTTTACATTTGAAGGCTCCTCAGGTTGGGTGAGACCTTACAAGGCATCCCCTATGCAGTGACCTCATCCCTGAATGAAAACCTTGTGGCACCAGTTGAGGAGGAGGAGATCAAAAGAGCACTTTTCAACTTGAAAAAGCACCGGGTGATGTTGATATGTTAGCAGCTCTTTTCTTTCAACATTTCTGGCCTTCAACCAAAGATGATTTGAGTGTTGGAGTTTATAATTTTTTTGCTTCTGGGAATTTGTTGAAGTATTGGAATCACACTCTTATAATTTTAATTCCAAAATGCTTAAATCCTTAAAGTTTTCCATTTAGACCTATACGCTTATGTGGTGTGGAATATAAGATTATAGAAAAAGTCATGGCTGGAAGAATTAAAGTCTTTCTTGATAGTTGCATAAGTGAGTCTCAACATGCCTTCATTCCTGGAATAAATAATATGGTATTAGCTCAATAAGTCTTCCATTATCTTAATAGGCATAGATGAGGGAAAATTTTCTTTATGGCCTTGAAACTTGATATGATGAAAGCTTATGATAGGCTTGAATGTCATTGTAAACTAGTGATGCTGAAAATGGGATTGTATAGTACTTCTGTGAAATGGATAATGGCTGTGTGTCTTCAACTTCTTTTTCTATTATCTAAATGGGCAAGTCTATGGGTATGTTTCTCCATCTAGAGGGGTGAGACAGGGAGATCCAATATCCCCTAATTTATTTATCGTAGTGTCAGAGCTCATTTCTATACTCATCAAATTAGGTTGTGGTATGGGAGGTTTACAGGGGATAAAATTGTGTAGGAAAGGATCATGCTCTCTCTCCTTTGCTTTTTGCTCAAAGCTGATAAAAATCAAGCATTTATGTTGCTTCAAATCTTGGAAAACTATCAGCTCTTCTCAGGGAAAAGGGCGAATTTGGATAAATCTTCAGTATTTTTCAGTAGCAATACTCCTATTTTAAGAACAATCGAGAATCTGTAGAATTATGGAGGGAATTAAGTGTCACAGATTTTCAAGATACCTGATACTGCCTTTGGGGATAAGGAACTCTAGAAAGAAAGGCTATGTGCTAGAGGTAGTGAGGAATCGAATTTGTAGGTGGAAGAGCAAGTACCTCTCAACTACATGGAAAATGTTTTGATAAAACAGTCCTTAATGCTCTTCCTGTTTTTGTAATGTTCTGCTTCAAATTGTCTGTTATGTAAGAAAGTGGATCAGTTGTGTGCTAGGTTTTGGTAGAGTAGGGTTGAAGAGCAAAACAAAGGGATTCAATGGAAAGCTTGGAGTGTTATGATCCTACCAAAAGAGCTGGGTGGTTTGGGGTTTCAAGATATAACTCTGTTCAACAAAGCATTTATCATGAAGCAATCATGAAGAATAGTGACCATGCCTTCTTTACTGGTGAGTAGGGTACTAAAAAGTAGGTATTTTTCTAATACTTCTTTTTTTTAAGCAAAGACAAATCATAATATCTCTTGGCTTTTGGAACAGTTGGATGGTTGTGAAACCAAAACTTGAACAAGGAATCAAATGCAAATTGGAAATGGTCTGAAACAAGAATCTTTGATTAGAACTAGGTAGAGAGTCTGCAGGGAAGAAAATTGGTAGCTAAACTAGGTGTTCAATGTTATCTGAATTGAGTGCAGGAACTTATGGGCAGTGGTGGACTCAGTTGGAATATAGAGCTGATAAGAGAATATTTCTCAGATAAAAACACTGCTGCTATTTTGAGAATCACCTTGAACTCGAATTTGGAAGACAGTTTGAGCTAGAAACTAGAGAGTAAAGGAGATTTCTGAAGTTGAAAAACCCTAGAACCCGTGTTTAATGATATCTAGTATTAACTTCATCCCAAACCTCCTAAGCAGTAGGGAAGAAGAGTAACGATTGACATATGTCGTTGACATTATAATTTAGTAGCCAAGACAATTCTAAGTTATCAGCCCTCGCCCAAGACAAGTATAGAGATGGATTACTAGTTGTTGAAGGAGGAAGACTTGAGTCGTCAATGAAACTGTCTTTGTTCTTGACACTCATGGCCATCCTGACCGCTCGACCCCAGGACACAAAATTGTCGTCGTGGAAGAGATCAGCTACAATCAGCACACTGGGATTGTCGTTGGCATGGCGATAGTACGACAAAGACGGATTGTCGGTAGGATCAAGATTTATCATTGATCGAATGTACGAAACAACAAAACTACGTCGAAATTTAACAAATCAAAGCCGAAATCGTACAAATCAAAGAAAAAATGTACACATCGAGACTTAAATTGCATGAATCGGGCTTAGATAAAAAAAAACAAAAAAATGAAGTGCCTTAGAGATAGAGACGACGAACAAAAGGGAAATCAGAAAAATATGTGTGCGGAAGCGAGATTTAGTTAGAAAATCAAAGATTTTATGACCTCTAATACCATATTGAAATTGAGAATAAGATTGAATGTGAAGCATCAAGGTGCATTAGAAAGAAACACTCAGAATATAGCGTTGAACCAAAAGAAAACAAAAGGAATGAAAAATTAGGGTTTACAGCTTGTGACATGTGCTATTTATACTTGCATCTTATTGGCAATTTTTACATGAAATGCTATATATAGTAGAATTATAGAAATGTCCTTATATGTCTAACAGTGCTTGTTTAGGTGAATAATGTGCTTGTTTAAGTTCTTGTTTGCTAGCCAAGGAGCTTTGAAGATGGAATAATATGTATTTCTCTTGTTTATCATGATTTCAATTAGGATTTTAAGTCACATTTTAAAACTTTTAAAGGTTTGAAACATTTTAAGATTTTCAGATTTTGAAGGGATCTATGAAATCTTAAATTAAGACGTAGAATTTGAAGTGAGATTTCGTGTAAGTTTTTTTTTTTCAAATTCCATCAAATCTTAAAAAGTCTTAACAAATCCTAGTGTCAAATAAATTAAATATCTCAATTGTAAGACTTTTTAAAATCTTAATTGAATAACTCAAGAATGTTAAAAGTTTTAACGAATCTAAATTGAATTCGCGTTTTTTCGAGAGTTTTTTAAAATTGTTTGTTTCCTGCTAAAAAAAAAAATGATTTGAGAAATTACTCCATTTATATAAATCTCCCCGTGGCCGTGAGAATAGTGAGCCTGAACATGCGGGTTAGAAAGAAAAATCTCCTAAATTGGTGAAGTATGATGAATTCACTAATTCGCCGGCCATTTTCTATTGCTGTTCAACGATTCTGCCATCGGAGCTTCTCCGCTTCACTTCCATGTATTAGCTTGCGGTTCTCTTTGCTGCTCTTTTGTTTGTTTTCACTACATTTTTGTGACTGTGTTGTTGATTCATGTTACGATGTGGTTCACAGATGTTAATGATGAACTGAAAGCTAGTCGCGTGGAAGGGGGCACTAATATTCATCCATTGGCCGTTGTTCATCCGGATGCCATTTTAGGGCAGGTAATTTTGTGATAGCCGTTTTTGTGGTCTTTCTTGGTTGCTTTCTGTATGATTGATTGAAGCAGAAAAATGTTCAAATTTCCATCTATATGTGTATTCGTAGTCCTAGAGAATCCGCATTTGTCGTATTGGTAAGAGGTTCCTTTTCCGGTGAGCTAAGGGATCGAATTCCTTGTGGCTGGATATGTTTGTTTCTGTTTTGTAAAAGGTTGAGTGCCATCAAAATAATTAATAAGATCATAGTAACTATGCTCGGAGGGAAGAAATTAACTGAGATTGCTCAGTATGGTTCATGGTTGCATGAGAGGAAGAACCAAATGCCTTTAACACACATTCAGATGGCTACTATTTGGTGCAAATATTTGGTGCCAATTTTAGCTACAAAGAATGTATGGAGATGGAAATGCTAGTGATATTTAATTGTCGGAAACTGATGTGACAGATTTTGGACATTTTTGGCTGTTGATGATTAATGAATATAGCTCTACATTTATCTGGTTAAAATATCTGAAAGATTTACGAAGTGTATGTTTTGATAAAGCTTTTTTATTTAAGCATTCACGTTAAAAGAATATATATATATATATATATACTTGAAATTTGATAAAGCCTTCTCTAAATGTAGGGTGTTTCCATTGGTCCTTTTTGCACCGTTGGACCTTTTGCGAAGTTGGGAAATTCTTGTCAATTATATCCTGGGAGTCATGTTTCTGGAAATACAGAGCTAGGAGATAGCTGCACTGTGATGATGTAAGATAACTGTACTCATTATCTAAAGACTAGTTGTTTTTATCCACATTCCAGTTGAACTCAATCTGTCCACTTAACTGGCAGGGGTGCTGTAGTTGGTGATGATCTTCCAGGCCGTACAGTTATTGGATATAACAACATTATTGGGCATCATGCTGTCGTGGGCATCAAGTGTCAGGATATGAAATACAAGGTCAGTTGCAATTACAACTTATTTTAGCATGTGGTGAAATATACCTCTGTATAGAGAGATAAAGCAAAAGCTACTTGAGTATGATAGATTGTATTAAACATGCATTATTACAATCTCACTTAGAGATTGCTTATTTATGTGAACTTAGGCGTGGGACAGCAAGTAGAAAAGTGGCGAACCATTTAAAAATTCATACTATCTATATTTTACTTGAAGAACTAAGGTTTTTTAGCGACTTCTAACAAGACATGGATCAAAATAGTTGAAAAGGAAAATGATGAATTTCATTGGTCAGCATGATAAAGGAATTTAAATTTGTAATCGGTAGCCTGCTTTTTTATTGTCATTCATGTAAATAATATTTTTGCAAATTTCAGTGAGCAAAGATATACCAGGATGGTTGACCTTATGTATAAGGCTTGTTTAATTTGATAGGTAGTAGTTGATAATTTTCGTCCTGGTGTTATTTTGTTTCTGGTCAGTAATCGGTTTGCTTCACCAGTCTTTCCTTTTCTATAGTTGGAGCTTGTTCAAGTTATATTACATCTTTGCCTGGAGTTTTGAGAAGCTTTTGACTTTGTTTTGATATAAGCGAGCAAGTTAAATTACATATACAACAACCATGACTCATCAAATGTTAACCTAATTGTTGTGGCTTTCTTGAAATAATGCCGGAGTTTCTAACTGGTTTGTAACAATCATCATAGCCAGGGAATGAATGTTTTCTTGAGATTGGTGACAACAACGAGATAAGGGAATATTCATCTATTCATAGGTCTTCACATCCAGACGAAAGAACAGTATGTAACAAACTTTGCACTCTTTAAATTTCATTGAGACAAAGTGCTTCACAGTGTCTATTCCTTTTTGTCTCTTTAAACTTTTGTCAACAGGTTATTGGGGATAACAATCTTATGATGGGATCTTGTCACATAGCCCATGACTGCAAAGTGGGTAACTGTAACATTTTCGCAAATAATACTCTATTGGCTGGCCATGTTACTGTGGAGGTGATGCTTCTGTATTATTTTTTCTTTCCCTGTATACTGTATGGTATTACCACATTTAATTGAATTAACTGAAAATTAAGGTGGTTTAAGTGATTTATTTGCAGGACTATACTCACACAGCAGGGGCAACAGTTATACATCAGTTTTGTCATATAGGTTCTTTTTCATTTATAGGTGGTGGCTCAGTGGTAAGGATTTCACCTAATCCTGTATCAATTTGTTGTGGCTCTATTTTTTATTTTATTTTTTTTTAAAGAAATGTTAAGTGATCAGTTATTAAAAGTCCTGAACGATTGAATCTTAGGTGTACAATTGAGTAAATCCTGCTTGCATCACCAGGATTTTCGAAACTAGAGTCATAAGCTTCTGTCCAGGAGCACCAGTGGTGCAGTAAGCTGTAAAAAGTGGTTACACGTGTAAAAAGTGTTCACATGTGTACACCTTGAGATTTTCGGAAAATGAGACTCCATATAACTTCATGTTGGGAAAGTTGTTTCAAAGGAAATATTGCACTCTGATCTCTCACCACCAACTTTCCATATGCATGACTTATTTCTGAATATATGATTCCTGTTTTTTCATAGTTGTAAATGATGTGCAACATCATTGAACATTCTAGATCGTTAACACATATGCTAGACTATTCCGCCCTGCAGGCCAGTCCCTTCTTGTGACTACATGTGCTTACATTTTTAGATCTCCTTCATTAGTTTTCCTTAGAATCTCATTTGTATTTGCTCCGCATTTGTGTTTAGTTGTTCTGGAAGTTTGAAATTGGACTGCGTATTTGCTTCCCGATTGATACCCACAGGCACCAATAGTAATGTTCTGCAAAATATTCTGAAAAGGATAAAGGAGAACAAGACTTAATTGAGCATTTTTTGTTTCCCAGATAACATTTACACATCCATTTACACTCTTCACATTTCAAGAGTTGTTCATTCCTCTTTTACCAAATAAACCCGATTCTTGCAAATTTGGAAGTGAAACTTTGATACAGAAAACTGGCTCATGTTTAACTTCACTGAATTATTGGTAGTTGATAGTGTTGTGGTTGACTAGAGTTCATTTTATCTTCAGCTCGTCTCTAATGTTCTATGAAGGTTTCTCAAGATGTTCCAAACTACACAATGGTCTCTGGCGAACGAGCTGAATTACGTGGATTAAATGTAGAAGGTCTAAGGCGTCGTGCATTCTCGAATGTGGAGGTTCGTTGCAGTCTGGCTCTTCTTTTTTTTTTTTTTTAATATATGATTTTCATTTTTGCTTTTGTAATTAGTTGTTTCATTGTTGTCGTTGCTTAGCTCCAATTGGGTGTTGGATGTTTTAGTTATTCTTCCAATGCAGTTTGCAATTCATATATTGTTCATCATATCACAATCTTTCAACCGGTCCTGGACTCTAATGTATTGAGGATTCACATATGACGGATTATTCTTCATATGCAACCATTTTTATCAATTGAGTCTGTAGGAGATGTGACAAGCCAGATTTTGCTATGACCTTTTCTTATTTGGCTGTGAAGTTATGATGAACAAAGCTACTTCTGCGCGCATATGCAAATCAAAATGGCTTTCTTATGAAGTATGATTGTCTTTGTGATTACTGGTCATACAATGCCGATGCTTGGCATGGGTTTCCTACTTATAATAAGACAGCATGGTAAGAACCATGAACAGAAGATGAATAATGGAAAAAATTATCTGCTCATTTAAATCTGCGAGGATCAAACAGAAAATAATGAATGGAAAAACATATCTGCTCATTTAAATCTGGCGAGGATAATACCTGTAAGCAGATGAAGCAATGAAGCAGTACATTGGCTATTCTTTTTGGTTCGAACTGTCTTTTATTTAAATTTTGAAATGAAAAGGCGTCTCACATTCTGCCTTCTCAACTTATAAATAGAAAAACAATAAAACTTTTATACTCCTGAGTCTAAGCATCTTTTCTATTTTGTCTTTTTCTTTGTCTTATGAACTAATCTTGCCGTCCTTTTCCAGATCAGGAGCTTGAGAATGGCTTATAGAAAAGTTTTTATGCCTAGTGATGAAAATTTACATAGTATCGAAGACCGCCTGAGTGAATTGGTATAGTACTACTCGAGTGCCCTTCTTTTCCTATTCTTTTTAGCTACAGTAAATTAATTTCTCACTATTTTTTTTCCTGAAAATGTTTCTTTCAGGATAAAGATAACGAATTGGGTCAAGTCCCGGTCGTTCGTACTATGTTACAATCCATTCGAGATTCGTTTATGGAGGGACGTCGTGGGATATGCAAGTTTAGGTCATGGACTGGATCTTAATACGTTAAGTGATTTCTACATATGCTTATCTTCGAGTCTCCCAGTTTTTGTAAACTTAGCTGGATTAAGGTAAAGATGAAAGGGCTTTAAACGCTATTCTGCATTCTCGGTTATTGCAAGGATTTCCATTTCAGGTACCGATTCTGATTTCTCCCTGTGCTTTTGGGCCTTTTTTGTGATGAATTTGCCTTTACTTTTTTCTTTTTTTTTTTCTTTTTTTTT